GTGGTGTGGACTTGACAGCTCTTAAAACAATTCCTGATAAATGAATGCAAAGTTCAGCTTAGTGTATCTTTGAAGGAAATTCAAGAGTTGGGTTTGGTAGTTTGATCTCTTTTCTCTTTAAACTTGGTCTTAACATACTATCTAATGCAGTATCTCACCCATATCGTTCCCTATGTCCCTCCTCAGACTAATCTGCCTACGTCTCCTTACCAAGATTTAATAATTTGTATTGCTCTCCAACTTCATGTTCCTTAGTTTCTGTTATGGAGAGCACTCTGCCCACAGAGCAAGATATTTGGCTTCCAGCTCTGTGACATTTATGTACCAATGCACCCATGGTATAAAGCACAGTGGAATTGGAAATAGTTTATAACACCCATTCCTCTGTAACTCTTTAAAATATTTCACACTTCATTTGAAAATCTCTCCTGTGGTAGATGGCTGGAGTGGACTTGAGGAAAAACTGAAGAGCACAGTTCTGCAAAAACTATTACCAGTGAACAGCAGTCCTCATGTGTTTTTTCAGCTTTAGAAATAAATTATTTTATACAAATCTGAAAGAAAGTAGAACAAAAGTTGCTGTGCTCAATGCCTTCAAAGCACTGCAAAGATGTCCTTGAGCTAGTTAGAAGACTAGACTTACACATATGATTCAGAATTTAAGTTTTCAGATGTGATTTTCCTTATGTAACTGATCACTCAAAGTGTAAACTACCATTAGAGATTATCTATGACTGTATTGCCTGTTTCTCATGACTGAAATGTTTTATTTCTCTCTCTGTATGTGCTGGTTTTGGCTTGAGTAGAGCTTATTTTCTTCATAGTAGCTGCTATGGGGCTACAGTTTGGATTTGTGATTGCTAACACAGGGATGTTTTTGTTACAGGTGAGCCGGACTGACACTGAGTCAGAGCCTTTTCTCACCCCACCCCACCAGAGAGGGCTGGGGGTGCACAAGGAGTTGTGAGAGGGCACAGTGGGGACAGCTGACCCCAGCTGGCAGAGGTGTATCCCATAAGATATGGTGTCATGCTCAGCATACGTAGCTGGGGGAAGGAGAAGGAGGGGTGAGATGCACCAAGTGATGGTGTTTGTCTTCCCAAGTCACCGTTGTGTGTGAAGTAGCCCTGCTTTCCTGGGGCTGGCCTGCCCATGGGAAGTGGTGAATCCATTCCATGTCCTGCTTTGCTTATATGTGCGACTTTTGCAACCTGTTAAACTCTCTTTATCTCAACCCATGATTTTTCTTTCTAAACTTTCTAATTCTCCCTCCCATCCCATGAGGAGCAGAGCGAGCAAGCAGCTGTGTGGTGCCTAGTTAGTGGCTGGGGTTAAACCACAACGATATATTGTTACATAAGTGTTTATCATCCCACAACTCTGGTATATTGTGTGTATCTGCTTGAAAAATCATAGGACATTCCTTTTTTTATTTCAATATAAATTCATTCTTTTTTTGGGTTATAACTTTCTTACTCTCATTAATATCTGCTCAGTCTGTGTAATGAGTCAATACATTCCCATTTTCTGCAGAGAAAATAAAACAAAAAACACTTATCAAGATTAATATGATCCATAAGGCAGAAGATGATTTTTCTTTTTTGAAGAGCCATAACTGGGGTAGGATGTTCTTTCGCCCCTTTCCGGTGACTTCTGTATTTGTATTTATAAAACAACCCTATCTCAAAGATAGGCTTAAGTCTTGTAACAATTGAAATCATTATTAGGGAAACTATAAAGTTAAATTCTTTATAATCTTTTCTGTCTGTGGACTTTGAAGCGCTTCATATATTGGTATAAAGCACAAAATTCTGCACACCACTGATAGCTTCAAATCTTCACATTTCCTTAATTGCTCCCCAGGTAAGTAGGATAATTTGCTTCAGACTTATGGCTACTGTGGCAACCCAGAAACTGATTGGAATATTAAATTGACAGGCTGTAGCAGGTTTTATGGGCTTAACTGGATCAGAGGTTTTGCCTGAACAAAGAAATGGCATAAAATATCCTGCAAACTGGATAAAAACATGAGGTGAAAGCTGGTGGTGGGTTTTTGCATTAACTTTCCTTCAAAAACAGAATCTCCAGAAAATAAGGGATATTAGGTGCAGATTTAAAAACTGGTAGGGCAGGTGGAGTCTCTCAGGCAACAGCTCATCTGGCTCCTCTTCTGTAGGATTAAAAGGCAAGGAATCAATTTGGACCCTGACATTCCCCCCTCCCACAAGAAGTTTACCATGCACTTACTCTTCCTTCCCCCTGATCAGAGAATCTCAGAATAATTCTTTAAGAGACCTTAAAGGTCATCTAGTTCCAACCCCCCTGCCATGGGCAGGAATCCTTCCACTAGACCAGGCTATTCAGAATCCCATCCAGCCTGGTCTTAAACACCTCCAGGGATGGGGAATCCACAACATCTCTGGGCAACTTGTGCCAGTGTCTCACCACCCTCACAGTAAAGAATTTCTTTCTAGTATCTAACCTAAACCTGCCCTCCTTCAGCTTAAGGCCATTCCTTGGGTACCAATACCCAAAACCACACTCTGACATATCTTTCCAGAGACCAAGGTGAATACTATAAAGTTAGATAAACTCAATAATGCTCCCCTCACCTTTTTTTTTCCTTATAATTTCTAATAGTAATTAAAACAAAACATTAAATAAAAGACAAAGAAAAGTTGGTGTCCTGTTCTCCCCTTCCCTTCCCCACTGGAGACTTGGCATCCTCACTTTCTTTGTCTTTATTTCAATGAAATGGAAACAAATGTTGCTTTTAAATAAGCACTGTTTTAAGCACAACAACTCTTTATCTGCTCTCTGGAATCCAAACAGATGTTAAATGTACTGTAACCTCTACCTCTTTTGTAAACTGTCTATATCTTTGCTATATTTCATGTGCAGTCCTGAGGTGCTGATGATGAGGCCATGGTCAGGTACCAAAATACTGGGCCCCACCTGGCCTCTTGGGGTCTGAGCCTTCCAGCCAAAAAGCAGAAGCAGATAAAGGAAATGATTCATGGCAAAAGGGCTAGATTTGATACCTTGATTTCTCATACATGTTCAGACAAGCCAAGGTATTTTTAAAAAAAATTGATTATAACTTGAAACAAATCAACCAGACAAATACTGTTTGAAGTCATCAAAGCACATGGTATAAAAGCTCTTCTGCCCTCTAGTGCTGTGAAGCAGCGTGATATCTTAGATGCACTGATCGATTTTTGGGAGGGGAAGATATGTAGCATTGCAACCCACAATTCAGCCGCTTTTATCACTGCCAAAGGGGAAGGAGGGGAGTTTAAAAGGTGCTTAATAATTTTTGTGTATGAGCTTGAGAGAAATATGATCTTAATATCTGAAACGAAAACAAAAGCTATAAAAAGTTTCAAAACAGATGAATTGTACAGCAGCTCGTTAAAGGCACTTTGGGATAAATTGGAAATGCTACTACTCAATCAAATAGAGAAAAATCTGAAACAACATCACTGATGGAGAATGTTATGCCATGAGCGAGATGTATTGTCAAAGCTTCTTTTAAGTAATGTTTGCACTTGTGGTGAATGCCAGTGGGGCGTTGCTGCTCTCTTTACTCCTGCTTTGAGGGTCTGGGATTCATGGAGACGTGCAGAACAGTCTCACCATCGCAGGGGCACCAGAGTGTGCTGGCAGAAAAGGAAAAGATCATATTAAATGGCACCATTAAAGCTCACGGCTGTATCTTTACTAGTTTAATCTCATAAATTAATCCACATCCTCCTAGAATAAGTCTTCAAAGAGAAAGAGGTAATTGGATATAAATACTCTCTTACCAAGCCCTGAATTACAGTGATACGGCAGCAGGCAGCTTTGGGCACTTTGATCTCTTTGCATGATTTTCATTCCCCTTTTAAGCCTTAGTCTTGGGCCTTATTGTTTCACTGCTTTTCCACTGCCATTTTCTCTCTCTGCTTACTAGTTTGTCCTCAAGCCATTTCCTGTGGCCTTTCCTGAAGAGGCTCAGCCTTCACCCCTAATTATAATTTGCTAGCTGTTCTTGTCCTTATGCTTTCCTTGCAATGAAGCCAGATGAAATATTTGTGCCCACATGTGCATATGAAACCCTGCCTTGACTCTGATGCGTGGGGTCAACTGCTGCTTAGTGCATTTCTGGTAAACCTGCACCCCCATTGCACAGCTTCTGCTGAGTGGGAGCTGTGTAAGCTCCTACTCACACAATACACCTTGGAGATAAAACCCTTTGTCTTCTCCAAGTGGAACTGACACGTTTTCATCACTCTTTTGATCACCTCGAGTCTCTTAATGCACTCTGAACACTGTCTTGCCTCTTTGCTGTCACATTAGATTGATAGTTCCTTGAGACAGCAACTGCATTTTGAATTAAGTCTGGCAAAACAGGGCCCTTGTCCTGATTCAGTGAGTCGCACCTTAGGCAGCAAGATGAATATGCCCAAGGAATTCCTGGTGCCTGAAAATGAAAGGCTGACAAGGAAACTGAAGCTCAGGCAGAGAGTAAGTCATCTGGGTCCAACACAAACATCGCAAAGTGCAACTTTCCACACTCCTTGGACAACTTTTGGGCAGATTGCCTAAGTCCACAAGGTGCTTGGTGCCTACAAGGTAAGGGGTGGGACTGCCAGCACCAGTGCTCTTCCCAGTAGACAGTGGTCTTCCACATGGAGCATTTCAATTCAAGGAAGTGATTTGATTTGAAATGCATGAGATTTGAGGCCAGCAGTTTAGAGTAAGTCTTGAATAAGACCGACAAAGGCTATGCTAAAAGTTCCTGAAAATGTTTTTCTTGGTATCTGCTGCCAATTCCAAATATAACAAGTATTTCTAGAGTACTTACCAAAAAATCTTAAAGAACTGAATCAGAATAAATACTAGTTTTTCTATGAAGTTGTTTCCTACAACAGCAGAAAACTGACTTTGCTGATGAAGGGACTCTTTCAGTCCTGATTTTCTATAAACAGGAAAAATAAGAGTGTATTCTTTCATTTTAGTGTTGGCCCATATGTCTTGGTAACTCCAAATGAAACCAGAAGAAAACAGTTGCAGCAAAGTAAGTTGAGTTGTCTAATATCATAATACATTATTTCTACTTGAATAACTTTAGGGTTTTAGCATTTTATTGCTCTTGCAATTTTTATCCTCATATTTACAATGCTTTTATATGTACAGCTATGACAGTAATGCCAATGCTATGAGCATTCTCCATGATCATGTAGCTTTTCTTAAGATGGATTCATCATCTGGCTTCACTTCATGCAGAATAAATCTTGTTCAGAAGGGTTTTGGTAATTTCAGTGCAGGAGCTGTTCAAGGTGGTTTTTACAAGACTATGCTGGAATTAGCTCTATCCAACTTTTACAGGATTGAATTCATATTGGGGAACTTTGAAGAGTCTCAGGGTTAGGAGGACGAAGAACAAAACTTTAAATAAGAAATCTTTTTGAAAATACTCCCGTGTGGATACTAAAGCAGCTGCAGATGCTCTTGGTTCTTGAACATGCATTTAAGGATAGTAGGTGGGTCTTTCACTGAAGCTGGTAAAAGTCATTTTAGATGGAAAGTCTTTGTGAATATATGTTCACTTTTGCATGGTTGTGAGTCTTGCTGGTGAAAGTAGCTAAGCAGGAACACCCTGAACCTCTATCAGAAAGATCAGGCATATGTTGAAACCTTTATTGGCAAAGTTACAGAAGAGTCAGTTGTGAAATAAATTCTGTATACAGAGGTGACTAACTGAGCACAGCAGTCCTATGCACCTGGACATTGATTTATGCTGATTGATTGACTGATTGATTATGAAAGCTGAAGGAGCATGAATCAGAACTTCTCATGTCTTGAGTCCTCAAGGAAACAGTGCAATTAAATCCTTTCTTCTCAAACATTATGAGTTTGGCTGAAATGCTTTACTAGCAGGCTGGTATGGGTTTGGTTTCCTTTGGTTGCAAGAAGGAAAATGGACTTATCATGAACCAAACTATAATCTTTTTGAAGGAAGAATAGCAGCAGATTGTCTTAGACCTGACTGTGATGTTAACAGCAAAGGTGCTGCTGCTCTAATAAAGATCTGTTTTCATTTTGTGGTGCCAGTATGAAAGGTCTGAAGTATGTCAAGTATTTCTGGCTTGGATGCTAGCAGAATTAGGATCTCATTGAAAGCAGTCTCTACTTAAATGTTTGTTTTAAGTGTGAAATAAAAAGTTGTTCTCTGTCTTTTGGGTCTCTTTAGAAGCCTACCTAAATACTGGCTTTATCCTCTTAGAGGAGGGCTGGTGTTAGCCTCCAATAGCCATAGCCAGCCATTAGGCTATATGGTTAGTAAGAGTGACATAAGTTTCCAGGGCAACAGAAGTGCTACTGTAAATCACAACTCCTCTACCCAAAGGCTTTGTTGGCCTTGCTATTGAAAAGAATTGTGTATTTCCTCTGTTAGCTGACAAAGAGGGCAGTTAAATCAGCCATCCTAAGAGCATATGGCTGCACCCCGGCTGTATTGACTGCCACTGACTACACTGGGAGCTTGCTGCCCATCTCACATGTGGGTGCCTGTGTTGAAGTGTCTTAATTTGAAGCTGATTCATGCATTCCTCCTGTTTTTATTTAGGGAGCATGTGGTTGGGAGAGAAAATTACTTTTCATTTCCCTGCTGGGGAGCATTACACCACAAGGATTTCCCTCTATGCAGCAATAACATCTTCATTGTAACAACTTCTGCTTTACCTGCTGGAATAAATACTGTGGCACTTACCTATAGGTTCCCAGGGGTTAAAAAAACAGTCTATGGGCACTCTCCTAGCTGGTTTTGCCTTTACTTTTAGGGTTGAGTCCTGGGGTTCCTCACTATTACAGTCTCAAGTTAGGGAAAATGTTTGCCTTATTAGCTGATTATTGCAGTGTCTGCATAACCTCTTGTGGGGATGTCTGCATCCCTTGAGAACAAGTTTGTTCCTGGATGGTCTTCAGAATTACATGCAATTAGCAGTAATGGCTGCTTCTTAGTATTCCTCTAACTTCCGTATATTTATTTCTTTTTAAATCTGCTCAGTTGCTAAGAAAGAGCTCGATGACCTGGAGCAATGGAAGAAGGAACACAGGCCAGGGCCAATTACCTTGGTGCCACAGAGACTGGGTAAGACATGTAAATCAGCAATTGAGAATTGCAGAATTTAATTTTCCAAGGCATGAGACATTTTTCACTTTTTCTCGCTACTTACTAAAGAGATTCAGTGTCAATAAGGGCTGACATGAGCCTATTGTACGTGCCCTGTGCTTCTTGATGATCATGGCAAGGAAGATGTTTCTGAAACAAAACAGCACAGATTGTCACTCAAGAAATCTGTCAAGATCAGAGTAGAAAATTTGTACTAACATTTGGGGAAAACAGGTGGATTAACCCTCCTGCTGTTTACACTGTCTGTGGTTGATGTCTCTGAGGGGGCACACACTTGTCATTAGTGTGCAGATGGACAGCATGTTGGAGACCCTCCAGTTACCTATGAGAAAACTCCTCTGTGTTACTATGTGTGCTTTCCTGGCTGCTGGCTCTTGAAGAGGCAAAAGTGATCCCTGCAGCTTCAGCATTTGCAGGTTAAATGTGCATGGAGCCTTGTATTACCAATTTTATAAAGATAAAAACAGGCGAGTAAATGAAAAACAGGGTAAAAAGCTGCAAGAACTTAAGACACCCTGAACATAACTGATGTGTTTGCTAAGATAACCAAGATGTTTTCTGGATGGGTGAGGGAAAGTATAGGAGATATCTTGAATTGCAACCATTATAAAGTATTGAATTTAGTGATATTTCAGAGTTAGTTTAAAAACATTTTATAAACGAAGAGCTGCCCTTCCTTACCATGGCTGTTGTAGGAGAATTTGGGGTGCACAGTGCAGGATGTGTTTTGCTTTGACCTGTAAATTAAGTTCTTTCTCTGCCAGGCTACACAAGATAAGTTTTTGGTGGTGTACAGTGTATAAAAATAGGCAGCAGGTGGGAGACAGAGGAATTTGAACTGACTTCAACCCAGAATTTATTTTTGGCTCAAGGTGATCATGGTCCCACATGTTCTGCCCTGCAGCTGAGTCACAGTTGTTTGCAGTGGTGGCAATACCCCGTATTCCCACCATCATGTGCAGTTGTGTGGCCAGACACAGTCTTTGTGAGTTCATGTGTAATATCTGGTCCTAGGAACTTGTGAGTAGTTCCTAGAAGACATATTTCTCTCACGAGTAGACTTTTTGCTGAAGAAAGTGAAATCTGGAAAAAGAAATTTGGTATGTCTGGTGTGTGCAGGCTGGCTGTGTGACTGAGGGTGTCCCTTAAAGCTGAAGTGACTGAGTGTCACTGCATTTAAAATCTTCCTTGGCAAAGAAGCAACTTAAAAGAAAAAAATAAAGGAAGAAAATACGATGTTGTTAGTCACTCTCTAGCTGCCACTCATACTCCTGGAAACTGAGACACGGGCACTGTGTTCACTGCCTCTGAAAAGAACTGAGGTGCAAAGATTATTAGAACATATTCCCATAGGAACACGTTTGGAGCTGAAATGGCATCTCTAATTTCATCACTGTAGGTACTCATTAAGGGAAAAAAGTATCATGTGTTATTTTCTCAGAGAGATTTTAAGGGACTACACATCTAGGCCAAATCACTAAATAAAATCTCTAAATAAAGTTGAAGTTTATTAAGTTGAAGTTTTTTAACACTTCTGCTTTCCATGGGGAATAAATATTCTGGATTTCAACTCTAATATTTGACTGGCAAACTTTCAGGCATCATGGAGAGATGAGAGCAATGAAGAATGCAAGTTCTACTTTCCTCCATAAGCCACGAGTGGAGCAACAAATCATGCCTGATAAATGCAATAGTCTCTTTTCTGGTATTATATATGAGCACCACACCCTCTGACTTCAGTGGAGCATTTGACACATTACAGTCAAGCCAACCTGTATGAATTAAACCTGGCTGAAGGGCTATAGGCAATTCCTAATAATGATCAGGAAAATGTTTGTTCTGAGATGATGTCCACCAGTACCGACAAAAAAAACTACAGTGCATAAAAGAAAATTTACCAATAAAAGGCTAAACAAAGAGAAGGATTAGGCATCCAAGAGGTTTTGAAACCTGTGTAGCAGCAGTTTTATTCTCTAGACCTGGGGAAGAGACACTCTAGAATGCCAGTTGTATGCTTGTCGCTACTCCAAGCTTATTGCTTGTATACTGTATGGCCACTCTCTCTTGAGAACTTAGGGATTTATTTGTATCCATAGGAATGTTGCCACACATAGGGAATCGATCTCCCATTCACTGAATGTCACAAAAGCTCCAAAGATTAGTTACCTTCCATTAGTAAATGGAGAGAGCTACCTTTAGACAAGAATGATCCCTCCTGAAAGGTCCAGTATAGCTGTCTTACATTCCATAGAATGGTTTGAGTCTGAAGGAAACTTAAGTATCATTTAGTTTTAACTGCCCTGCCAGGGGCAGGGATGCCTTCCACTAGACTAGGTTGCTCAAAGAACAATCCAACCTGGCCTTGAACACTTCCGGAGATGGGACATCCACAGCTTCTCTGGGCATTTTGTGCCAGTGCTTCAGCAACCCATAGTGAAACATTTCTTTGTTATAGTCAATCTAAATCTCTCATCTTTCTCAATCTTAAAGCCATTGTTCCTTGTCCTTCTACTGTATGCTCTTGCAAAAATTCCCTCTCCAGCTCTCTCGTAGGCCCCTTCAGATACTGAAAGGAGGTCTCCTTGGAGCCTTCACCTCTCCTGGGGGAACAGTCCTGGCTCTCAGCCTGTCTTCACAGGAGAGGTGCTCCAGCCCTCTGAGCACCTTTGACCCATGGACTCAATCCAGCAGGTCCATGTCCTTCTTACACTGGGGACTCCAGAGCTGGATGAAGCACTGCAGGTGGGGTCTCAGCAGAGCAGAACAGAGGGACAGGATCACATTCCCTCCACTGGCTGCCCATGCTGCTTTTGATACAGCCCAGGATATCAGGCGCCTAAGGTAGCACAGATTGGTCCAGCTGCTTCTATAGAATTAAGAATCACATTAAGGGCAATTTCTCATGAAAAAAAAAAATTGGGAAAATACAGCCCCTATCCTCAGAATGGAGTGAGGGCTGCTGTTATTTTTGCAACAACTGAAGAATATAAATTATTTCCTTTCCAACAGCAATAAAATATTTTGGAAAATAGAGCAGAGTAATAGAATCAAAGTCACTCCCTTCATCCCTTAACACCTAGTATAATTTTCTTTGTGTGGTTGGGTTTTTTTGCTTGTGGGGGTTTTGTTTCTTTTTATTGAAGGCTGAACATTATGGCCAGAGCTTTAGATGTTCACAAAAGAGTCCATGGCTTTGGAAAAGGACACCTTCTACTACCTGGATATGAATGTGAGGTCTATGGGAAAAGGCTTTTACTTCCATTTCAGAAAGGGGATTCTTCTTTGAGCTCCAAGATGTTACTTAGAAAATACTAAAATGATAGCGTCCCATTAGATCTGGCAGAGTCTAAGATCCTAAATTTGATATAAGAGAAACTTTCTAGCAATAGAATTTCTGACTGTATGTGTGTGACAAACTGAGCAAAGGTGGGGATAGCTGGATGTGAAAATGAAAACTCACCTGCAAAGCATGACTGATTTCCTGAAAATGGAATAGTTCCTCAGTAAACTGGTCATACATTGCAGGGACATATTTGTTGGTAGAGTGGATGATACAATGGGTGCTCTGTAAATAATAGGCAAGTGCTTTTGATGGATGAAAGAAATGATCAAAAAGGTCTCCTATATGTTCTCTTTAATGTTAGACAGCTTCTGTAATTATGAAAAATTTCCCGTATATGTGTACATCCAATTTGTTATACTGTTGTATTGTGAATTGACTGGCATTTGCAGATAAAATGCTCATATAAAGTGCTATTTCTATTTTTATGTTGTTTTAAGGTGGAAACGAATCAGAGGCTCAAGTAAGACAAAACCAGCAAATGATTCTCATGCAATCTAAATACCAGAAAAAGGTCAGTAAGAATAAATGTGTTTGTTTATTTTAGAACTCAAAAGAAAGTTTTTCCTGTAGTGTTTTGTATGACTATAAAATGAACTCACAGCTGCTTGACAGAAAAAAGTCATGAAACCTGATGAAAGCAGCAGAAAATCAGAAACTAATGTTCTGCACCAAAGAAGATGAGAAATCTTTCCATAAATATGTAGCAATCTGTATCACAGATGATATCTCAAATAACAAGCAGAACAGTTGTAAAGCCACTTAAATGCCATGCTGTGTCTTCCGGCATGCTGCTTACGCTTGGACTAATTGATCAATGTACCACCCTGTCCCGTGCTTATGTGGAAATGTTGTTCCTGTTACAAGAGGTATAAATGCTTGTAAGTTATCAATCAGCTGTGCAAGTCCTTGCATGCATTCCCATTTATTGGTCCTGGATTTCTCAGCCTTCTATAAGCCAATATTGGAGTAGCTGTTGCACAGCCTGCATTATTCAGTGTCTTATTTTAAGGGAAAAAAATCCAGAAAGTTTCCTCTAACACACTTTAGATTTGAAAGATGTGCACTATAGGAGTCAAGTTGCCTTATGTGTTCCTTATATACATAAATATGTAAAATAACTTCCTATGTTTATGTCACGCAGCAAAAGAGAGAAGAGTACGTAAAAGCAAAAAAGGCAGCTGAAGAAGCTGAAATCTTGAAAAAGAGAGCAATTCAGAGAGAAAAGGTAAATCTGGTTACTGCAGACTTGAAGCCATATAACAGTTCATATCTTGATGCTTGATTTTGCTGGACTGCACGGAGCTGGCTAATTAAGTTAAGTGGTAGCCCTGGATGGTATCGAGGAATTAAGTAGTCCTCCTACTCTTTGTAAATGCCTGCCTGGGTTTTAGAGGCTTGAGTGCTCCTTTGACTCATCAGAAACTCCAGCCTTTCAGTTTCATCTAGCTGGCAGAGTTAGCAGAAAGGGAGAACATGAAGGTCAGGAGTAAACTATGTGCAGGTTATCTGGTTTGCTTTGGCATGAGCTCGCTCTCTAAGATTGGATTGTAGCAGTTGGCACAAAGACCTTCTAGAAATTCATAATTGCCTGTGCACATGGGAAGAATACTAGAAAATCCAGCCTGTCAGGTTGGAAAAGATATCCAAATCATGGAAAGGTCAGTGTAGTCTACCTGCATTGTGCTGAGAGCACCCTGAAATTCAACTACCCCTCCAGCCCTTCTATGGCCTGCATACCTAAGTGTCTTGCTAATAGGTCTGATCACTCTTCTTTCTAATATTCTCCATATATTGACACCAATAATAGATCACTTTCAAATTTTCTTTTATTATTTTGAATTTGTTTGGTTTCTCTAGTTCTTCTCACAAAGCATCTTCTTGTCCTTTGTGCTGCACAAGCCTTTGTAAAAGTTCATTTTTGTCTCCTTGGTGGCAACCAAGTCGTACTTGCTTGAGAATGCAGTGTGGAATTTAAATGAAAAATGAAAGGAGAGGGAGCATAATACTGATGTGCTCATTAACAAGGAGAGAAAGGGAGATTTCAGGTTTGCAAGTTTTGTCTCCACAACAGTAAAAATGATTTTCTGTGCAGAAACTGAATGTTGAGAGTTAATTAAAAAGTCGTCGATACTGGTTGGCGTACAAGAGCACACATAAACAAAAATAACTGTAATTGCCTCTAGGTAAGGGTTAGTCTGTTCCTGGTCTCTCAGTGCTTAGTATTATACTTTGGGCATAAGCTCATATACAATAACTTACAGGGACAATAAATATTATCACCTGAAAATGTCGTTAGCTGTTACCATCTTATGTATAGCTCCAGATGCAGTGATGATAGCAGTGGAAAAGAGTGGATTAATTATTTAATATATGTTGTTTGCCCATGGGCATCAGACAAGAAAAATGTTACAAGACTGCTATAATTTCTAGTTACACCTGGAAAATATATTGATGTATCAGGTTTGTTTTCATGCTCTTTAATTTCCTTACCTTCACTCCCACAGATTATAAAATCTTTATAGATGTTGTAGATAGTAAAACTGTAAGTATTCATTTTTTTCTGAAGGAGGATGCAACATCGCAGCAAACATCTTTGCCAAACAGATTGTCTAATTTGACTAAATAAACATATACCCACAAAACAATCAAACAAAACAGAGGTGCGTGAAAGGGAACTCTTAGTTTGAATTTGTTTATTCAGATTGTCTTCCACAATTGTGATTGAGCTGATGAAGATTTCTTCTTCTAAGATGATTAGGTATTAAAAATTCAACCTTGTGTTTAAGGAGAGCATGCTGAAAAGCTCCAGGAAGGTGTCAACTTGGCTATCTCACCCTCTCTATAGATGAAAGGCTCCCAAGGCCTGAGAATGACACAGATCCTACTGATGATCCTACCAACAAGCAGTGTTGGGCTCTGTTTACCAAAGGAAAGGAGCTTTTTATTTGAAGTGATAGATTTGTATTCAACTGCACCTGTGGGGCATTGGCTGGGAGCATGTCTTTCTACAAGTTCACAGGCCGTCTTTTCTTGCTGGCCAGCCCTTCTTTTGCTCAGGGTTATTATTCATTCAATAAAAAACCAAATTGTGTGACAGTCTGAGAGGAGATAATAGCTAGCCAGCTTTATCAGCAGGAGCCCTGGAACTTTCACAGCTGGAAAGCTTCTTTGCCAACAGACATGAATGGTGAAGCCTTACAGACTAATGTGCAATGACTAGAACGGGTGCTGATACTCAGCTCAGTTCTTCCTTGATTGTAAGGATGATGTACTGTAAGCCAGTGACTTAGGATCTGTTTATATTACTGTTTTAATGTTGATTTTTCAGAGAAAAGCAGCATCCCTTTTCCAATTATCTTTGTGAACAAGTGAAAACTGTGTGTCTGCCAAAGCAGTATGCAAGTATGGAAGGTCTGCCTTATTATCTGTACTAGTCCACCTGCCTGTCTCAGTCATTCTTTAACTAACTGGGGTTATTAGCTGCTGGAAGACCAGCTTGGCATCTACCTTGTCTCTCTCCAGCTTCCAGAGAGAGGAAAGATTCTTCATTCTGTGCTCCACAGAGCCACCTTGTGTGAACAAATACTTCAGTCTCCCGTGCACTTCATGACAGGCAGCTTGTCCTGGGACTGTTGGGGTTTGTTCATGGGGTAACTGTGGACTGCCTCAGTTTGGGTATTTGAAGCTAATGGTCTGAGTGCTCAGTGAAATAATTTGGAAGAGACTTTGTAACATGAGCAGAGAATTCCCTTTTTCTGTATTTTTCCCTGATGCTGAGATGTGTGTCTAATCCGCAGAAAGTGTTGAAGTACATGAGAGGTAGTTTTTTTATTATTTGCTCATTAGTAGTAGATGCCTGGAATTGGTATTTTTTGTGCAGCCCTCCACGTCACAGTGTTTGACCAGACTGGATCGTAATTTCCTTTGTGTCTATTGGGTGAAAGGACTGTCAAAGTTCCCAAAAAAAAGAAGCAAGCAGCTGAATTTGGCTTCTTTTTTTTTGAACTTTTCTCATTTGTGTTGTATGTAAAATTGGATTACTTCAGTGCAATGGATATTTCTGTTTCCTGTCACTGAATTTCTATTGCTGTTACGCTGCCTTTAGCCTTTCCTTGTACTGTTTAGGTCTTGACTAAGTATTAAAAGATTGAAACAATTTGAAGTGAAAAGGCTCGGTGTAATTCTACTGCATGCAACGCTTTTTCTCACACATTATGTAGTAAACAGGCCTGCCATCTTCAGAAACTGTCTTATTTAAGATAAGCTGTAATTTTGTTTTATTCTTTATCAAATCATGTGCTCTTTAATTTGACTGTGTTTATCAGCATGAGTGGCCCTTTTTCAGGAATTTGTTAAAACCGGGCACTTTCTAGACTTTCTGCTAACATTTTTCAACATGTTTACCTTCAATATCACAGCTGTTCCACTCTTGGCTTTTTCAACATGGTGCCAAATGTGGAGTGCTTTGGCAATGTCTACTGATAAATTGTCATTAGTTAGAGAATGTCCCCATCCTGTCGCCTGTCACTTGTATGCATTCTTAAGCAGGTGTCCCAGGGTGAACTTCCAGAGTGAAAAATAGTCATGCCAGACACAAGTGAGTAATTTCAAGATGCTGGAGTTTTCTCCAGCATTCATTCTGGTGGTAGAATAGCTGTAGGATATTCCTTTATTTTTTTTCATTTAGTGGGAGACAGGGTTGATACTGAAGGTTTGTATTTATCAAAGTTAATATCACTGTTCTCTTGATGTCACTAGCTAGGAGCCAGACCACAACAAGTCCTGTGAGCTTTGGATTTTTTCAGAACTTTTTGAATTCCTTTTTTTGGACTTTCAGGAGCCTTGCAATGTGAAGTTGGATCCCACATCTAATGCTTTTTCAAAAGTGAAGGCATCAGCTTGCAGTATCGAGCAGTGTTGGGGAAAAGCCTGGGAGCTATGGCTGTGTCTCAAGGGTATCAGCATCACCTTGGACAATAACACAAGCCATAAGATTTCTTTTCTGCCTCTTTCCTTTCTTTTCCTGTAAACTATGATGCTGCACAAATGAGTGGGAGTTTTTTTGCCTAAAGCACCATCTGTGTCTAGGTTAGGGGCAAACAGTATATCCCCTGAACACTCTGAAATCACCCATACTGTGTAGTGATGCTCCCTTACTACAGTTTAGTTAAATTTTTGAATTGCATCAGTATGTCATACGTTCTGTCACTGTCCCTGCATGTCAAATGAGTGAACAACAGGACATCTTATTCAGAGATTCCCCTTCCTCCTTTTGTTTATTTCTCACTGCCTTTTTCCAAATAACAGCTACCAAGTCTTTTGCCTTCCAGCAGTTTATATCATCACACGACATAGTGGCTCTTTTCCTATCTGCAGACATCTGAAAGGATTTTCTTTCTTGATCCAATGCATGCGAAGGAGGAATTTGCACTTGTTTTGCAAATCTCTTTCAGACAGTCATTCTTTATCCAATTAAAAAATACACATCCTGAAATTGCTAAAGGCAGAGTAATTGAGTAACTGCCAGTAGAATTGTAATTTTTCTGAAATGTTTTTCATTGCAGGACAGGAAGAAGATTATGGAACTGGGGGTTTCAACCCTATTCTTAACACACCTTACCCCGTTACACATTTCCTCCTCCTTGTTCTCCCTGTCCTTGCAGAGTACCTCTGCTCAGGCAGTGTTTTCTCCCTGATTTGGGGCTCTGGCCACAGGGGCCATTTTCACCTACACCTCCCTTCTCATCTCTGCAAGGTATTGTCTGAAATTTCCAGGGCACTTTGTTCAGAGCAATGTCTGTTGCTGGGTTACCGAGCAATTACCTTTTTTCATTTTGAGGGTGGGCAATGATCAGAGTGACAGTCTGAGGCTGTATTTTGCTCCACATGTGAGTTGTGATCATTTCCTGGGAGCTCTTACTGGAGCATCCCCCCACCAACTGCAGTGTGGGAGTTCAAAATATAGCAGGCTGGAATCTCAGGTTGGCACTTCTAATTTGTGCTTTTCATACACTGAACTGCCTTTTAACTGCTCTTCCCGCTGGACCTAACTGCATCCTGTGAGCCATAACAAAAATTTGTCTGGCCTCCTTTTCATTGGAATTTAACTTGTACTGCATGTTGCTAGTTCTGTAGGTTTTGCTTTATTTTAATGTTTTAGTCTACTTGAATTTGGGATTTAGGCAGCTTAGATGATAGTTCCATTGGAAATTATGTGCAATTTTATATTAAAGGACTTAATAATTTGTGCAGTATCCAGACTTACAGAGGAGTTTTATGTGTCAAGGATTTGGTTGGCTCTTGCACCAGATGTGGTATCCGAGGCAGAAGAATTCTGGTTTAAGTACAAATGTCTCCCACTTTCATCTGTCTTAGCATGTATTCAACTGGCCAGTACCTTATGCTCCTGCAGACCAGGTCTGTGAGCTACATGGACTCACATCACTGCACTGTCAATGCCACAGGACTATCATCTGCTTGGGTGCAGTGGTTGAGGTCTTCTGCCTTCTTGCAAGGACCAAGGTTGCATCAGTTGCACCCGAGATGTCCCCAGCAGGGCTGTGATGGCTGTGAAGGCTCACAAGGCCTTTTGGGTAGATGGGTACTAGCAGCACCATGTCATTTTCTAATTTAACAGGTCTATTGACTAGGAGATGTTTGTTCATGAGTGAATACCTTTATATTTGAGATTGGGTCACTTCTGTACCCAACTGCTATAAATCTTTTAAAAACCAAAATATTGAAATATTGGAATTGAAATAATTGATGTTTGGTTTTGGTTTCTTGGAAATCTCAAGTATTTTTTCCTGGTTTTAATGCTTAGGCAGAGAGACTTGAAGTTAAAAAAAGACAAGAAGAAATGCAAAGAAGAGAGATGCTTCTTGAAGATCAAAAGTAGTAAGTAAAATTTGAAACTTATTATCTAAAATTCCTGATCTACTTGTCCTTCTGTTTTGTTTGTTTGGGTTTTTAATTATTATTTAATATTATCCTATTTGTTTGCATTTTTTTCCTGGTTTGGGGCTCAGGAAGAATTTGGCTTCTGTAGGTATTTTTTTCAATTTTTGTCTTGAAATTTTTTACTTCAACACAATGGGCACAAACTGAATCACAGGAGGTTCCTACTAAATACTTTTGTACTCTGAGGGTAGCTCATGAATACAGGTTACCCAGGCAGGTTGTGGATTCTCCATCCTTGAACATATTCAAAAGTTCTGGGCAGCTGTCTCAAGGTGGCCCCAGTTGAGCAGAGGGTGGGACAAGATGACATCCAGAGGTCCCTTCCAACCTCAATGATTTTATGATTCTGTAAAATATTCAAGCCTCCTCCACACCTTATTCCATGATAGATTTTGTCCTGTAGATCTCTCTTAGCTTCTTAAAACATATACTTTGAAATTAAAGTTGTGAATTATAAAATGACTTTGTGCTTTCATTCTCACACTGAATCAATATCTAATCATTCAATCTAAGACTAATTATCAAAACAGAATCTAAATTACATCTCCACCCATTTGTTTTGTTGATTAGTAAAGAAGTCTAACTCACATGTAAATAATGAAGACTTCCTCTATTTAGCATAATCCTACTTAAATGTGGAGATCTGTTGTAAAGACCTATTTCCCAAGAATACCTCCTTAATGTCAGATTTAGATACAGCCTAAATCCTGATATAATTAATTCCATTGGCAGTAAAGTTCCTGCCTTGCCCATTCACTCTACACCATTTATTTGGTTTTAACTGATCCAAACTGATTCTATCAGATAATTAACACACAATGCTGTTTTGTCACCTTTACCTTTTTTATCTTTGGCTTCTGAAATTACTCACCTGTATTCTTAGCCTGATTGATTGCTTTTTCTTCCTCTGTGACCTTTAAAGAAGTCACTTCTGTCCCATGCTAGTGGCTCCAGTTCCTTCATCATTTGCCCAGACTGTTCTCTAAGGTACAGACATTTTAGTGCTTTGTCACTGATTCCAGCTTTTCTTGTATTTTCCCTTTTGTTTCTTCCCTTTTGGCTTTAGGCATAACTCTTTCCCTTAATATGTTGCCAGTATTTGTCTCTAGATATTGGTATTTGGCTTGCTGTTTTTCCTGGTGTGGATGCCTACACACACACACACACACACACACCTTGATTCCTCAGGAATTCTGAAGATACAGCTTTAGATCTCTGCCTGTTTCTGACAGACTAGACACTTCAATTCTCTTTGAGCCTAAATCAACAACAGACACATCAGATCTTTGCAGTGCAAGGTCCTCAGTTATGGGCCTTGCTTTTCCTCAGGGGGTTGTCAGGGTTCTTGTGTTCCCATTTAATCTGATTTTTTATCTTAAGTCATTTTCAGCTATGGATGACACATATCTCTTCCCTCCCTTCACCTTCCCTGTCTATACCTTTTTTTGCTTAGGGTGAAATGAATTCTGCTACTGAGTGCTCTTTTCCATTAAAAGTAAATTTGGTTTTGCAAAAGCAGGCCCAAGCCCTCTGAAACACAGGAAAACAAGAAATGGCCACAAGCGAAAAATTTCTTCAACAAAAGAGTGGCCAAGCATTGGAACAGGCAGCCCAGGGAAGTGGTTGAGTCACCATCCTTGGTGGTATTTAAAAACATGTACATGTGGTGCTTAGGGAAATGGTTGAGTGCTGCACTTGGCAGTGCTGCCTTAATGGTTGGACTTGATGATCACAGAGGTCTTTTCCAGCACAAATGATTCTGTGTGGGTTTTCCAGCACAAATTATTCCGTGTGGGCAGCCAGATAGTCTCCAGGTGGTGCAGGAGCTCTGGGTGCCTGGGCACTGCTTGGCAGCCATTGATTAAGGAAAGCCTTGTGAACATTCAGCTGATATTATCTCTGATGAAAGTGAAGATGGACTCATCACTAGAGTGTCTCGAACTCCATTGCTCGAGTTTGACTATCAGAACATTATTTGTATGTACTATGTATTGAACGTACACCAGGAGGGCCCTATAGATCCTTCACCTGGAGCAAGTGAGCTGAAAACCTACCTCCAGTGAATGCAATTTAGGTTGAGCAAAGCCCTTATATGCTGCAGTGTTAAGAAAACTTGCCTGTCAGACCATCCAGGAGCCACTCTGTCAGTCAATCTGGCACCACCTGAGCTGGGACTGAAGACCCTTTGCAGCCACAGCCCCCATGCTAACACAGTCACACCAGGTTCAAACCAGGTTTCCTACCAGTTCAACTCCAGATTTCCCATTGCAGAGTCCCAGATGTCCAGATACTTAAAATAATTTAATCATGGTGCAATAACTAAGTAATAAAATAGCAGCTTGAGCTGGTGTTTCCAAGGAGGCGCCCTGAACAAAGGAACCCCATGGCTTTTATCATCTCACAGTCTAAGCACAGAGAAGTTTGGGGGCTGTCATTTCTGCCAGTGTCCATTCCCCTGGCCAAGTGACAGGTCCCCAGGCCCTTTGTTATGCAAAAGGTTGGAATTTCATGGTCCTTTGCCTGGGGCTCAGGCTCCAGCCCCCCAAAGCTCAACCTGCAGCTGGACATTGAGCTACCTGCAGAGAATATATTCCTCAGCAGACACAGGGACACTAGTGCCTTCTCTGGTGGGAAGGAATTCTCTGGTGGGCACAGGAAGGGGAGCGTGTACACCGGAGATTGTTGAGGATGCATTGATCGCTAAGAGACCTTGGCATTAAGGAGCACAGCATCCAAGAGTAATGAAAAGCTAATGTGTGACATTTCAGATTTTGTGAAGTAACTCCACTGAAGTACTGCTGGTCATTAGTGACACATTCACATAGAAGTGCTTGGTATTTAGAGATGTGATTTTGCCTACCATGCAAAATGGAGTGACTCATTACTTCCTTTCTCTAAGACCCTTCATCTAGAGGCAAAGAGAACAAATAGAAGGTTGTGTCCCTTTCCTCAATGTCTGTGCTGGAGTATTTTGATCTCCTCTGCTTGCTGGGAATGGGGGGAAGGAAGGTCATGTGCTGCATATAAAGCAGTGACCTCTGTAAAGTCATGGCCTATGGAGCCATTTCCAAAGATAAGCTCCCTTGTTAGTCTGTCCTCTCTAAGATCTGTAGCTGCAACATCACAATTTTCCTGAGGAGATCAATGGCTACCAGCCGTCTCATTAACTGGGAAACCTTTTAAAATTGATCACCACCTCTAGCTGTATCAGCCTCCAAGGGGTACAGCCCAATCAGTACCTCTCCTGCATGAAGTGCCCCTTCTATTTGATAAGGAAAGGCACTTAAGATTCTCATATCATTAACAATAAAGTATGATGCTGCCCCAGAATTTCGTTTTTCTGATTAAATTCCTGTCACTATCAAAAAAAAGAGCTTCTCACTGAAATCCCCTTTCAAAGGGTCTAACACGAACTGAGTGCTAAAAAGATTGTCTGTAACCTTGTGTGCTGTCTACAGAATATAGTTATTTCCTATCTCTTGAAATCCCTTTTAACTTCTTTGTATATAGCAGGTCCTTGAAAGTCAGCTGTATCTGTTGCCACAGTTGCTTGAATATGTGTTTGTGTCTTGTGAGAATGTAGTCTAGACAGGAATGCAGACTGCCATGAAAAAGTCTGCAAGCCTCAGATTTTTGGGATCAGCCCCTCCTCTGACCCTGGTGGACTCAGGCTTTTTTCAGTGAAAAAACAGAAAAAAACTCACAAGGTGTCTCCTGAAGCAATTGTGTATTAAAACCCTTAAGAGCTCTTAAGAGCAGACTTTGGGGTGGAGAAGTTGCTGCATAGCAGGATTACTGTAGTTTGTGCTAACAGAGAAGAAGCACATGAGAGATTTGTTGGTGACAGTGTTGCTGTGGTTCTGTCCCTGCCAGATTTAGAAAATGGGGAATATGTGTTGACTTTTTACCAGAAACTACTTACACATTCAATGGAGTCCTTCCTTCTGAGTCATGATATCCTGGATGCATTTTGCATTATTGGCCTGATCGTGTTTCTGTCGGTGCTTTAAAAGGTAACGGAGGCTCATGTAGTCCTTACTTTGCAATTGCTAATCCATGCGAGGGAAGAACTGAGTGCCCATCTTTCCAAAAGGAAACAGGACTTTGCAGGACATCCCTCTTTAGTTAGTGCACCACAGTTGTCATTTAAACAGTAATGAGGGTGGATATGTCATGACTCGCTGTTTTCAGAGGCTTGCTGTGCAGACTGTGTGATTCTGTGTCTGAACTGTAGGGTGTCTTACCATGCGGTTTTAGCCCAGATCTCTAGTTAGATGCTTTTATTATATTTGTATTCAACTTTCCAGAAATTATAGTGTTGGATGGAGTCCACTGTTTTTCTAGTAGCCATCTACCTATTTATGTAATGGAAAAAGCAGTCTAAAAAATAGGGTTACTTTCTAATAGTACGTGATGACTGTTGTGTCACTTCATCTTTGCTACATATTCATGCCTCTGTTTTCGTGAAGGTTGTATTCCTGTAAAAATTCCTGGCACTGCTGCACTCGGGTACATGTGCACATACAATATATTCTGCTCAGAATCTGGAGCTGGAAACAGAATTTGCCAGAGTGTCTCTGAGTGCATATTCCAAACACAATGCAGGAGGTTCACCAAACCAAGCTGATATACGCCTGCCTGCCAAAGCAGTTTTCTCAAAAGTCATAAAATGCAGGAGAATAAAACCTGAATCAAAACAGAATTTTTATTTATTTATCAATTTTTACAGGATAAATGCTAGTGTCCTTGCCAGTTTTCAGTCCCCTATGATGTGTGGTTCAAACAGCAGGCTGGCAACAAATTTTCCCCACAGAAGTGCAAGTGTAAACCTGACCAGACTTTTAATACAGGTTGCTAAAGAGAATGAAAGAGGGCCTGCACAAAAAGCATTTGCAGCCTTGAGAATCCTTTGTTTGCTTCTTTTCACCACAATTGTC